CTCCAGAGAAGTCAGAATCGCCTGTATTCCCATTCCACAGCAGATGGGTAAATCCTGGTCCCATCACCAGATCCCCCTGCCGCTGTGAACAGCCACTAACCACACCCCAGCCCACCCAAGTGAAATGTTTCCCCTCATTGACACCTCTTGCGAGAAAGGAGCCGTCTCAGATTAAAGACAGTGAGGAGGAAGTTCTTTTCCTTCTGCTGGGAAGGGAAGGTGCACAGTTATTAAGTAGGGCATTATCACTCAGCAGAACTTTCTCTAATGGTCATTTCCTTCATCCATTCACCGAACGGCATTTTACGTAACTCCCCAAACTTGGTTTTTTTCTAACCTTTGATGTTTATTTATTTTTGAGAGAGGCAGAGGACGAGCAGGGGAGGGTCGGAGAGAGAGGGAGACACAGAATCTGAAGCAGGCTGTGAGCTCTGAGATGTCAGCACAGAGCCTGATGCGGGGCTTGAGCTCACAAAGCACCAGATCATGACCTGAGCCGAAGTCGGACGCTTAACCGCCTAAGCCACCCAGGCGCCCCTGTTTTTTTCTAACCTTTGAGCTTTCAAAGGATTACAAAATCACTTGACTTTGAAGTGGGGAGAATTGCAAAACACGAAAACCCCACACAAAAATTAATTTTAGCTCAAAATCCCGTAGCCATTTTGAAGTTTGTTTGGACACGAGGAAGAACTCACTTCGTCTTGTGATCGTGGCATTTCTCTTTCTATCATTCCACCTCATAAAATGGTGTTAGAAGCAGCCAAAACATTTAAGCTCCAAAACACCAATCGGATCAGAAGTTCTGCATCTCAGCAGCCTTCCTGTCTAAAATATAACAAGCATCTGAATTTTCTACGTTCTTTGATTTTCCTCTCGAGGCAAAGCCAAAATGCAAATAACCTGCAATCCATTTTCTCATCTGTGTTTTAGGACATTTTACTTTGAAGGCAAGCAACAAAGAATTCGTCATAATAGCAATTAAGCCCTATATTGTGAATATAATTTCTCAGTTCATTCCAGCCACCATATCTAAGGACTGGGTTAGCCCCAGAACTTATTAAATTCTACCAAATCACATTACTAAATTGTCGCTTGTAAAACTTTTCTCATTTTCCTCTAAATTTCTCAGAGGTATCTGTAGAATTCTACATGCATCCAAGTTTTTGGTCCCCTTCTTGCTACAAAGCTCAATCTGTCAGTTATTAAACTTATCCTCAACCTGCCATAGGTTAATGCCTAACCTGCACTTAGTCTGTATGTCAGGAAAGTATTGAAGGAAGTTTCCTAATGTACTGGAAATTTCTACATTAAATCAGAGTTGGGAGACTTGCTCCCCAACTTGCCCCGGGCCTGAGTTTCTTCCCCTGTGGAATGCGAGGAATCGTCTACAATAGTATCCAGATCCCTGCTAGTTTGATAACTCTGGGTTTGAAGTTGGCAGTTTCCCCTCAAAGCAGGAACCTAAGCTTTTAGGCAAAATACTAGCTAAACACTGAACAATAAGACGACGTGTGCTTTCTAACTACACGATTTTCTTGGGAGAAAATCATTTCTCTAAATAAACACCTTGCAAATAAATATTTTGGGGTCCCCTCAGCTTGAGACATGTGCAATATCCAGGAAGACTCAGGAAGTCGTGGTTAAGAGGAGAAACCCAGCATTTATTTGCCTCAGAGACAGGAAGGCTGTTTGGAGAAGGTGGGCTATGAGTTTAAGGATTGTTTAAGGCCTTGCTCCTCAAAGTGTGGCCTCTGGACCAGCAGCATTAAAATCACCTGGGAGCTTGCTAGAAATGCAGAGTCTCAGATCCCCACCCCGGATCCACTGAATCAGCAATCCCGGAGTAGAGCCTAACAAGCTGCTTTGTTCGGCAAGCCCTGTGCTGGTGATTCCGATGCACCCTGAGTTTGACTACTCCTTTAGGGGAACGAGATGGCCCCCGGTGGGGCCGGGAGTGTCTTTGGAACCAGGTAGGCAGCCCGAGAGGGAAACTTCAGGAAGGTGTGAGCTGCCTTGCGAACAGGACACAGGGAGCTATGGCACCCAGTGGGAGGCCAAACCTGGGTTACAACTCAAGTTCACTGCTCACTCCCTGCGTGACCTTGGATAAATCACCTAGCGTCTGTGACTGTGGACTTCTTCCTCCCCTGTAAGAAGGACAATGGCACTACCTTGCAGGGCAGCTGAAAGATGGAATGAGGCGGTGTCTGTGAAGCCCCTGGCGCGGTGCCTGGCAGAGAGCAGGCAGCCGCAGACAGAGTCCCCAGGGGGTGACGGGCTGGGAAGGAGGGTGTGAGAAATGAGCCGGGGGGGTCAGGCCGCAGGGACCATAGGTCTAGAGAAGAGGGGATTCCCTATGGTTCCTGTCTGTACAGGGTGTTTGTCGTTTGGTGCTTTGGGGACAGCTGGAGATGGGCACTTCTTCAGGAGGGGACAGTTAGGGAAGTCACAAGGCCCGGGGTCCCTGAACTTTGCTTCCAGGGGCAGACTCTTAAGGTAGAGAGTTTTGCCATACGGTGCCCTCTAGGATGCAAAGAGCCAAGAGTCAATGTATGACCCGTTTTCCTATTTAATAACGTGTTTCTGAGCGTGGCTTCTCCTCTCTCATCTGGACGCATGCAATTCAGCTGTAGGTGAGAGGACAGGAAGCATCTGCCACCTCTGCTGGGTGACCTCAGGTCACCAGCAAACATTTATGGGACTTGTTGGGCAGTGAGCCCGGAACTCACGTGGGCCAGCGTCCGAGGCACTCCCCACCGAGAGGGGAGACAGACCCGTGCAAACGGGGTCCGTGGGGTCCCTGTGACAGGGTCTACTGAGCCCACGCCAGACATGAGGCTCAGCACATGACACAGACGACTCCGTTTCAGTCTCCCAAGTGCCCCCGAGGCAGCCAGGAGACTCAGAGGAGGAAAGTGAGGTTCCCAGAGGGCAGCACCTAGCTCAAGGTCACAGAGGCGGATGTAAGCCCAGGCTCTCTGACTCTGGCCACTTTGCCGCCTTGAAAGGAAGTATGCCATCCATGGGCGAGGCCAGAGAAGGCTTTGCAGTCGGGGACATCTGACATCTTAGCAGATTTCATAGGCTTGATCCGAGTTCTCTGGGGGATGAAGGGAGTGGGGCATTCTACAAAGGGGGCTGGGGCATGAGCAAATGACCCCGGAGTGAGCTGGGGTCTGCCTGCCAGGGTCTGACCTCTGAGGTTCCTTTAGCCCTTAGAAGAAGCTTCCTGAGCCTCAGTTCTGTCCCATCCCTAACACGAGGAGCTGAACTAGTTGCCCTCTCAGATCGTTCCAGGGCTTCCTGCCTCTGTGGTGCCAAGGTCTGAGCTCCTGGGGCTTCTGATCTACCTCCAGGCAGCTCCCGGCCTCAGGAGAATCATCTGAAGGGCTGCTGGGAGCCAGGAATTCCCTTGCTCATTATTCCAGAAAGGGGTCCCAAAGAGGCCCGCCGGACCCGTTGCCTGCCCTCCATTGACCAACACATAGTAGGTGGTTAGGAAAGTCAGAAACTGAAGTCAGAAGCAGGAAGTTCCCCAGGTAGGAACTCCCCCCAGGCCGTGGGCAAGCTGGGGAACTGAGTTCCCTGTGGCTGCTGGGGATTGTCACCGGTGGGCTTGTGCCATGGGAAGGACACCAGTCGAGGGTGTGGTGGTGAGCACAGTGTTCCTCTGGTTACCCTCTAGTAACTGGTACTTCACAGTCAATTCTGAGCTTTCGTTTCCCCAAGTTTGTGGGTCTTGGAGAGTCTTGTTTCTCTGAAATCAAATCGGTACAGGCACTTAAAATCCAGAAACCATGATGTTGCAGGGCACGTGGGTGGCTCAGTCGGTTAAGCGTCCGACTCTTGATATCAGCTCGGGTCACGATCTCACGATTTGGGGGCTGAGCCCCTCATCCGGCTCTGCACTGACACCATGGAGTCTGCTTGAGATTCTCATGCTCTCCCTCTCTCTCTCTGCCTCTCCCCCACTGGCTTGCTCTCTCTCTCTCTCTCTTAAAATAAATAAACTTAAAAAAAAGTTTATACAAAAAAAAAAAAAAGGAAACCACAATGTTGCTAAACCAACAAAGTATTATCTCCCTGTGACCCAGCATGGTGCTGGGGACAGTGGGCCTTCCATGAGTCAGTGAATAACGGGGTGCGTGGAAGGAAGGAAGGAAGGAAGGAAGGAAGGAAGGAAGGAAGGAAGGAAAGGAGGGAGGGAGGGAGGAAAGGAGGGGGGAAGGAAGGATCTTTCACATTAGAGCCACAAATACGATCATCACCAATGATTGCAGTGATAATTCTTCCATCTTCTGGACACGAGACCCTTTAGCCACATAAATCTTTAGCCACATTAGGGCCACAATGAAATGAACCCACCAATTCTGTGGAGCATCTGCTATGGGTGAGAGCCCCCAAGCACTCCTGGTGGCCAGTGAGTCCCCTCCACGGGCTTTTGGAAATAAAGAGAGCTTTGTTTTCAAAATATCCCTCAACTTCTTTCCAATCAAATGCATCAGGAAGAAACGGGATTGGAGTTAGCCATCAAGTCAGGTTATAATCGGACAAAGAAAGCCAGCCAGTAAATCCAGAGTCTGTCTGTCTGTCTAACGCAGACTTTCCTCCACTCCATCTCTATTTGTCCCCAACACGTGTCCCCATTTATCTGCAGTCTGTCTCCTTTTATGCTCTGCTCGGGAGGCTTTAAACAATCGTGGAGAACCAATGTATCTTTCCGTCTGCATTAATCAGACAAAAGGTAGAGGTTGTCTAAGATTAAAAGTGTCTAATATCTAAGTTTTATTATCTTCCCCTCTTTTTTGTATTTCGATCTTAGGACTTCAAGGACAGAAAGGAACAAAAGGAGAATCAGGATTTCCAGGTAAAGGGCCGGCTTCATTTTAATTTCTCAGAATGATGTCTGGAAAACCTCGTGCTTGGAGGACAGGTTTTGTTGACTTTGAACATGCTGCTGTGACCTTCCCCCAAAGGGGCTAGGGCCCAAGCCTGTTTGAGGCTAAGACTCCAGGGCTCTGTCCTTCAAGTCTCAGATTCCTGCCCCTGGAAAACCTGGAGAGCGACAGAACTCAGTGACCTGGGCGGGTAGGGAGAGGGGCCGCGCTGAGGGTAGAGAAGGGGTAAAGAAGCGCCTGGAGAGCCGGGGCCGGCTGGTGGCTTCAGGCCGTGCGCCCACCATGGAGCTGTGCGGCCTTCCTCTCCACCTCCCCAGTGGGCTGCGAGGCCTCATCTGCTTCCCCGTACCTGCGCTGGTCCATCTCTGTCTTCCCTTTGGCCCCTCAAGCTCCTCCCCTCCTCCTGCTGCTGCCCGCTAGCCTATTATGATCACCTCCCAAGCCCAAGCCCGTGGTCGGTCACTGCGCATGGCACTTCCCACAGAGCACTCGCTTCTAGCCTTCTCCACAGCCCCTGCCCCAAAGGGCGCCAACGCAAAACTTCTCAGACACATCTCTTGAACCCTCTTTCTGCCTCGTGATCTGGGTATTCGGTTCCTGTTTGAACTTACTAAAGGAGAACTCGAGACCTAGAAACACGACGGCAAGTTCTCTCAGAATGGCCACACCTTCCACACAATTATGTCGCTCGGTGAGGCCCTCCAGGATCCCGTCCGCTGTTTTTACCTGTGTGCTCCCAGCCGGCATTCGTAGGAGAGTCAGTGGGGAGATCAGAACAACACCCTGAACGCTACTGTCCCTCCAAGGTGGACCAAAGACATGGGCTGAACATCCTAACAGCCCATTCACGGAGGTGGGAGAGGACAACTCAGTCATTGAGGACCAAGGCCCTTGGCCCCCCTCAGAAAGCAGAGCAAAGCATCTGACTAACATGGTTTCTCTCCTCTCCAGGCCCTGCAGGCATGAAGGGAAGCCAGGGAAGCCCAGGCCTGGCAGGCCTCAAGGGTGCACCGGGACTAAAAGGCCAAAAGGGAGAGCCAGGAGTGAAAGGTCAGGCCTCGGTCTCTGATTTGTGGGTTCTGAGGAGAGTCCCTGTTGTCAGGGGTTTGGGAGTTTCCAGAACCAGAGGTGTAGAGGTTTACTGGCTTCCCCCCGCTCCACCCCGGACAAGTTCTGTGCTGGGATTGCCCTTGGCCCTGAGCACACAGAAGTGAAGAAGGCACGTTGTGGGTGTTTCAGAGAGGCAAACATGTGAACGTGTGTTCGCGTGACGCCCGGCCAATGCCCCGGCCGCTGCACCTTTCCACAAAGGAGATGCCTCCCCTGTCTGTCACATGTACTTCCCACATGTCACATGATGGGGTCACATGTTTCTCACCTGTTAAATGCTCC